CCTGGCTCTGCCTCCCGAGTGCTGGGATTAAAGGCGTGCGCCACCACCGCCCGGCTCTAGTTCTTAATTAGGTATTTGATCCTGGCTTCTCGTAGTTGGCATGGTGGATGGTTGTGCCATTCTGCCCTGAAGCAGAGGAGATGGCTTATTTCATTTTGAGGCAGTCAGTTATGTGTTTGGTTTTCCGGGAGCAGCTTGAGGGCCTGTTCCCACAATCAGCTTTCAGTTGCATCCTGAAGTCTCACTCTAATCCAGTATTCATCTTTCTCCCTGTGCACCAAGTCCAGGTTATGCGGCACTCACAACTGGGTTTTTACCCTGAAGTCAGACATAAAACATACGATTTGGGCAGTATTTGATACTGCATTATGTAGATTTTTTTTATGTATTATACTCTGTGTTTTCTGTTATATATGTCTTAAACTCTTCCTGTTGTTAAGTTCTTACTTAACTATCAGCACTGAAGTCTGATTTCTGCTTTAGTTTTAATTTTCACTCTCCCATCTTTTTTGAGCAGGAATTGTTTTTCTTTCAGACATTTTTTTTTTAAATACACAGAATTAGCAAAATATGTTTTATTATAAACTGTGCTAGTGGGACTATGAAATGAAATTGGAAATTCTGCAGCATCTCTAGCATAATGCACTGACGAATGTGTATTTCTTCCAGTTAAAGCAGATTGGTCATACTGTGGATAAGGTGGAGTTCATCGTAATGGGTGGAACGTTCATGGCCCTTCCGGAAGAATACAGAGATTTTTTTATCCGAAATTTGCATGATGCTCTATCGGGCCACACTTCAAACAATATTTACGAGGCAATCAAGTAAGAAGCCCTATTTTCTCACTCTCTGAACGATTGTCTGTCTCTTCATCCTCCTAGCAGCTGCCTGTGGGGATTTGATCTGTTCTGTGTATATATTCTGAATTTCTTGTACTCTTTCTTTGTGTGTGTGTGTTGGGGCAGGGGGAGTGGGATTATTTTCATGGAGCCACACCTCCTAATCAGTCTAACCCTTTCCAAGTTCCACTTCCTGGTAACCAAGCATTCAAATATATGAGCCCCCGGGGGCCATCCCTGTACAAACCACCACACCATCTATGCAGTTACAGACACTGGGCACAACATAGTGACCGAGATGGAACTGTGTCCTACTGGTACTGTCCTTTTATGTCAGTGACAGAGTAAAGGTTGTGATGGAAAGAGATTGCTGTGACAGAGACCTGTTGTAGGAAGACGAGTCTGAGACCTTCCTTAGAAAGGACAGAATGAGACCGGGCGGTGGTGGTGCACGCCTTTAATCCCAGCACTTGGGAGGCGGAGGCAGGTGGATCTCTGTGAGTTCAAGGCCAGCCTGGTCTACAGAGCAAGATCCAGGACAGGCTCCAAAACTACACAGAGAAACCCTGTCTCAAAGAAAAAAAAAGGGCAGAATGGGGACACTGAGCAGGGAAACAGCTTTTTCCACAGATGACTGGGTTATACTCCAGTGAGCAAGGGCAGGTCCTCAGGTGACATTGAAAGGCTGAACATGGGCCAGATCATGTACTCTTTCAGGGAGCTGGAGTTCTTGGGAAATACAGAAGTAGGTTGTTTCAAGCCAAAGGGGTGGCAATGCATCCTTGTTAACAGGCAAGGTCATTGGACTGTCTTCTGATTGACAGGTTAAAAGGTTACCATGGGAATGGGAGAAGCCTCTAAGCTTCCTTATCACCTTGGTTCATCAAGGTTGGTGGCAGTGGTGATGGAGAAGAGGCTCATTGGGGCAGTGACGGCCAAGCCTTCGTTGGATGGCTTGAGTAGTTGGATGGGAATGCCATATACTAAAATGGAAAAGCCATAGGGAAGTTCAGGTTTGAGGGAGGAAATTAAGTTTGCTTTCGGTTTGTTATGTTTGAAATGCCCATGATGTGTGTAGAGATGTCTGGTAGGGTCCGGAAAAGGAAGTCTTGGCTGCAGTTACACAGTTGAGATTTTCACTCTTAGGTGATAGTCTCAGCCTCATGGAGGGATGATGTCACCTAATGGGAGAGTTTTGCTTCTCCAAGGTGTGCTGAGACAAAAAGCATTGTTCAGAACAGTTTGTACTGTAGGGTCCCATCACGTATGTCTCCATCCATGTCTATCTGCGTAAGTCATCACAGGCCAAGATTATCACTGAGGAGGAAGAGCTGGGTGTAAAGGAGGCTTACATCTGCTGTGTGTACAATGTACAATGCGTCATGATTCATACTGTAAGCCTTTGAGTGTAGTGTTCAGATTTCTTCCACTTTACATTCGAGGAATCCAAAGCCCAGAGAGGTAAAGCAGCTTGCCCAGACATAAACACAAGAATAGAAGCCCCAGGCTACCTTCAGAGCCTGAAATTTGCTGTAATGCTAGAAATTGCTAGGTGTAAAAAGTTTGTGTGTGTGTGTGTGTGTGTGTGTGTGTGTGTGTGTGTGTGTGTGTGTGTGTTTGCGTGTTTGCGCGTGCGCGCACCATCAGACTTTGGCTTTTCTTTGGTGAAAACGGAGGAGAATGCCATACAGCTGATTGCAAGGTGGGAGAAATGGTGCTGCCTTGTAGACTTCTGTGTGGTGAGAAGTGGGGTCAGGTTGGAATGGACCTGAGGGGAGCTTTGTGACTGAAGCTGCAGCCTGAGGACACACGAGAACGGACTTTGAGGGGTCGTCTGTACCTCCAGAGGTCGGCAGTGGTGACCTCGGTAGGGTTGTCCCCGACCTGAGCTCACGCCTTCCTATGTCCCTTCCTTCCCTTGTTGCTTTCCTTTGGGTTTGTGAAAATTAAAATAAAAAAAGGTTTTTCATAAATTTAAGTAAAAGTTAGGGATCCTTGAGGGGCTACATAAAGGATTCATCCTCTGGAAGAATGTGTAGTGAGCAAGTACTTTTGTTTGACTGATGAAAACAGGTAAATTCTATGTCCCTGAATCTAGACTTTTGGGAATGTGACTTGTCCCACAGAGACCTTGGTAACTGGATGAGATGGCATCTGTTTTTACTATTCATTCAAAACATTGATCATTCATGAATAGTCATGCTTAGTGAAGCCCTGAAGTTTCCAAACTTGAGAGGAGTAATGATGTAACTCAACTCAGTCCTCTTCATATTTAAGAGACAAATGTGATCAGTGTAGATAAACCGTGATTTGGGGGTATAGCATGTAGATAAACCGTGATTTGGGGGTGTAGCCTCCGTCGGTCCAAGGCTCTGAGATGGTGTAGTGGCGACAGCACTCTGGGTTCCCAGCTGAGCTCCTTCACCTCTAGAAATCCCAGCAGTGTTCTCGTCAATACCATTGAATCTTTTTTCTCACCTGAGAATGATTGTCCTCTGGCCTCCTCATATGTGCAGACTCACCAGCGCGCACACATACACACACACTGCAAATATGGCCGGCAAGATGGTTTATCCGTGCCATGTATCTGTAGTCCCAGCTTTGAGATGAGAGACAGACAAGAGTCACCTGGAAACTCGAGGACCAGCCAGCCTGGAATGGGCAGCTCAGCAGCGTGGACTCGAGAGCCGTAGCCTCAGCACGCTAAAGGAGAGGACTGAATGTTGTCGTCTGACCTCCACATAAGTGCCATGCATGGTATATACCTGCCCATACTCACATATGAACTCATCAGACACACAATAATAAATTTTTAAAAGAAATAAAAAAATTAAAAGTATTTAATGTAAGTAAATAAATCTTCCCAAGCTTAGGTACATATAGCCTCCTTTGCTCAACACAGGTTTCTTACGTGGAAGGGTGTGTGTGTGTGGTGTGGTGTATTTATATATATGGCGTTCAGCTATAGCTGTTTTAAGGCATCTCTCTCCTGTGAATTTGCTCTGAGCTTTCCCACATGGAGTTTGAGCCCTGGACATTTTTGGAGTAGGCCAACTGAGCAAATGTGGAGTTTCTGGGGTGCAGCTGCTTTGACATTTTCATTGAAACATTGACAATTTTACTACAGTTTTGGTGCTAAATGTTCTGGTGCATCATAGTATTTGGCCATAAGTCATCTATTTTTGTGATAAAAATGGGGTTTTATGTTCAAACTCACTTGATTGAGATCACGATGCATTTATACAAAACCCACGAGGGAACAAAGCCTCTTCTGGTGCTACCTGGCCAGCACCTCAAGAGGGCGCTCTGTTCTTAGCTTTAAAAAATGTATCTGACTTGCTCCTTCATTGCAGCAAATCTCATGAATGGCTCCTAGGAAGTAATAAAAGTGCAAGCCAGGAGCCGTGAAGCCACCTCCATTCTGCAGCCCACGGGCCTGGTGTCTTGCTCTCTCTCCCCTGGTCTCTGTTCTTCATGAGTCAGTATGAAAAGTGACGATTTATGAGCTCCTGTTTGCTTTGTTGAGGTAAATTCTTCATACAACCCCCTATAATGAGGTGTTTAGGGGAAACTTTGTCATTTGAGGCAGTAGTTTCTGAACTGAGCTAGAAACAAAATTATTTTCAAATGTTAGCATCATTGTGAAGAGCAGCCCAGGAAACTGCTTTTGGTCTGCTGTGTTCCTTTTAGAACTTGTCTGTTCTCTTGAAAGAGGGTGTTTGGAAAGTAGTTGTTTACCAGAACAGCCCACCGCCCTTCCTGAAGCGGGTTCACTACTGAGCCATGGCCGACATTTCCTCATTGCACTGATGTGCCTCTGCTCGGTAGGACAGTTGGACAGGATGTTCTTCAAGGATTCATTTTAAACCGGGCTAACAGTTCCGTGAGGTGGCAAGCGAACCACCATTGTGGAAGGTTGAGCATCCTTAGGACCACACTAAAGGCACAGCTGTCCCTCCTTGGTCTCCTGTGTCTAACCTGGGTAGTTAAAAGGGTGTTTTGTTTTGTGTTGTTGGTTTTTTGTTTTGTTTTTGTTGTTGTTGTTCTGAAAAGATTAGGATTAGACTTCAAAAGATCCCGACAGCGTGAGCCTGGTTATTATTGTGGCTAGTTGGTAGGCAGAAGTCTGTGAACCCTTTGCAGGCAGAAGTGGAGGAACACAAGGCTGCCAAAGACAGTGCAGCCTGGCCCCTGGGAAGGCTGTTGAATTAAGCCGGCACTGGTAATCACTGTCCCATCGACTGAGCCTCTTCAGGTCTCCAGAGACTTAACAATTACTGATGACTGTCATCCCATAAAAATCTTCACTTGGGAAAAAAGACCATCGTGCATCTGAGTCACCCATTCACCAGGGTGCGAATGTTGCCTGATAACTCAGAACAGGCTTTTCAAGGAGTTTTATTCCTTTTTAATCAGCTCTGCCCAGAAGCAGTTTTACATTCAGTGCTCCTTGGCTGTTTTCACAAGATGCAATTTAAAAGGGTAGTTACCCATCAGAAGCCAATGAGTCATACCTTCTCCTTGTGGAATTTTAAAGTCATTTCCGTTCCTTCCTCTTTTCCCCTCATCAGTGACTTTAAATCCTCCAACTGTGTCCTTGCATATCTTGGGAAAGCTAGAAGGCTAGGTAATGCTGAGTACCAAACCCCAAAGATAATTCCATGTTCTTGCCTGGGCTGTGAAGGAAACCAAAGCGGCCTCCAGAGGCCTGGAAGCCCTGGCTACCTCTGCAGTCTTCCCCGGGTGCTTTGCCACGCATCATATTAACTAGCGTTCAGGTTGCTGTTTTTCCCTCGAAGTGAGTTTATATACAGCAGAGTACACAGACTTAACATACCCTTGATTTGTTTTGACAGACCTGCGTAACAAAAACACTGTTAAAGGTTCAGAACATTGCCAATTGTGGTGTAATCCCACAGCCAAGAGGCAGAAGCAGGGAGATCTCAACTTTGAGGCTGACCTGGGCTACTTGACAAGACCCTGTG